CCTCCACAGGTGTCCAGGGCCACCCTGAGTCCCTCCCTCCTGCCTTCTCTTTGAATATGCTTTGGAATTAGTTCCTTGAGCCATGCCGGCAAAAAGAGTCTAGGATTAGAGGATTTAAACTACCAGCAATATGCAGACTGAGCAGATTCTGTACAGCAGCCCTGACACAGCAGCATCCCAGAACGCCCCCACGGAAGTAACATGAGCGCACACGCACACGCACACGCACACGTGCACACTGTTCTGGTTCTCTCCCTCCCGGCCTCCCCGACTTGTCTGCATGTAGTATTCACAGGGGCTTTTCTCCCATGGATTCTGTGTCCCTGGGGGCAAGGACTCTACCTCCTTCTTCTTGTCTTCTTAATATCAGCATAAGGACTGGAACTCAGTAAACATTCTTGGTGAGATGGAGGGATGAATGGATGAGTGGATGAGTAGATGAGTAGGTGGGTGGATAGGCAGATGGGTGGGTGGGTGGATGGATGGGTGGGGGGATGGATGGTGGATGGATGGATGGTGGATGGATGGATGGATGGTGGATGGATGGATGGTGGGTGGGTAGATGGCGGATGGATGGATGGTGGATGGATGGATGGTGGATGGATGGATGGTGGGTGGGTAGATGGCGGATGGATGGATGGTGGATGGATGGATGGTGGATGGATGGATGGTGGGTGGGTAGATGGCGGATGGATGGATGGTGGATGGATGGATGGTGGATGGATGGATGGTGGGTGGGTAGATGGCGGATGGATGGATGGTGGATGGATGGATGGTGGATGGATGGATGGTGGGTGGGTAGATGGCGGATGGATGGATGGTGGATGGATGGATGGTGGATGGATGGATGGTGGGTGGGTAGATGGCGGATGGATGGATGGTGGATGGATGGATGGTGGATGGATGGATGGTGGGTGGGTAGATGGCGGATGGATGGATGGTGGATGGATGGATGGTGGATGGATGGATGGTGGGTGGGTAGATGGCGGATGGATGGATGGTGGATGGATGGATGGTGGATGGATGGATGGTGGGTGGGTAGATGGCGGATGGATGGAGATGGATGGTGGATGGATGAATGGGTGGATGGATGGGTGGGTGGATGGGTGTGTGGATGGGTGGATGGGTGGGTAGGTGGATGGATAGATGCATGCATGAGTGAACGGGATAGGTGGAGGGGAGGATGGATGGACCAGGTCAGGGGTACCCCACAGCACACATGCGCTTGTCCCTGTCGGCACTTATCATGGCTTCTGCCATCTACTGACTTGAGTATCCCTCTCCCCAGCGAGACCGTGTGCTCCGTGAGGCCCGGGCTCAGTCTGTTCATCAGCAGCACTGCCCAGGACCTGGGGCAAGGTGTGTGCTCAGGAAATATTTATCAAAGCGGAGACTGGGGCAGGTAAGGGAAGAAGCAGATTATACAGAAAACGCAAATGAATAAACACAGCATATTTCTTGAGATTACATGAAAACCACAGGTGAAGTTTCAAAGACGGAGATTTAAAATGCACTTCAACTACTTTATCAGAAGTTCAAGGGCCACACAGTCACAGGACTCAAGACCTGGCTTATTGCATGTCTGTTGTCTCTTCCTCAAGAAAGGTAAATCTTGGGTCCTGAGCTGCTATCAGAGCAAATGAAAGCAGCTCAGGAAGAGTCAGAGACATGTTCCTTGTCTCCCCAAACTGCCCAGCACGGCCGCTGGCCCTCGGCGGATGCTAGGCGAGTATCTGAACCAAACACAGCAGCCAGCACAGTCACGTTTCAATGTCATATGCAATTTATTCAACAAAATTAACCTCAGGAACTAAAAACGAAAGATCATGTTATAATTCTAAATTCATGAAGGAAACACTATCCTTCCAGGTGTTAACTGTCAAATATACTTCAATTTGTTTTAAGTAAAGTAAACAGCATCATCCGTTAGCGTAATGTAACGCAGAAAATTCAAAACTAAAAGATTTAGGTTCTAGACTCATTCCTTCATTAATTCATTTTTTGACCTTAAGTAACTAATTCACTCATTTCTTCTCTGGTTTCCCATTACATAATGGATAAATAATACCTCCCCCCATGTCAGGATTATATTTTTAAATGCCGGTGAAAAAAATGTAGGAAAAATATAAAACAGTGATATATATCACATCATTCCTATGTATTGTGAAGGTCGTCATGTTGATAGAGTGCCTCTTGAGTTACTGCTGCGTAAACACAGATTTCCTGGTGGTGCAAAAAAGTTGAAGAGGGATGCACGCTCACTAAACATCACATTCAGTACTGACTTGTCGAAAGAACTTCAAGTGCACCGTCAACTATCTTTGAAAATGTGGAATATTATATATTTGACAAAAAGTGTTGAATGACTGGCTGACTGGGTGGATGGATGGATGGATGGATGGATGGATGGATGGATGGATGGATGGGTAGGTGGGTGGATGGATGGATGGATGGATGGATGGATGGATGGAACCATAAAGCACATTGAATTTTCCTACTAAAATTGCCTTGATAGATGTACATCGAAATAAGAAAACAAAATATTATGCATATTCTGAATCTACAAAACAGGTAAGTTCAAAACAGGTATTTTACTTTAAATAAAAATTGCCCTAATATTAAAATTCAGTTTCAAAAACATTTTATTGGATGGATGGATGGATGGATGGATGGATGGATGGATGGATGGATGGATGGATGGAAAGATGGTTGGATGGGTGGATGGATGGATGGATGGATGGATGGGTAGGTGGATGGATGGATGGAAGGATGAATGGAAAGATGGTTGGATGGGTGGATGGATGGATGTCAATGGTGAGCAAAGCCAGGAAGGGCCACTTGGACCACTTTGGATGGTAAAGGGTCTGGGAGCTCTGGGGTCGTGGAGGCGACTTAGAGGGTGGCAGAGCTGTGTTCATGCTTGGTTTGAGGACCCCGCGTCTGGAGCTCCAGGCTTCTCCACCAGCTCCCCTCACCCTCCCGCTTGTCTGGGACCTACACAGTCAGCAGGCCTCCTGGGAGCAGGCGGGGGTGTGTTTTCATCGTCTCCGGGGCTCATCCACGCTCTGATGTGGGACAGAGTAGGTTTCCAACAACGCTCGGTGCATTAAGAACCGAGCTCCATTCACGGCTACCTGCACGGGAAACGACGTCACCTGGGTCAGTCTGCATGCACAAGGGAGAGGTTCATGCAGTAACACCCCTGGAGTACGGGTAGTGGAGGGTCGCCACCCGCCCCGAGGACACGACTTCCCTGCTGGCTGAACAGCGAGAGATCGCACTCAGAGGAAAGGGGGCACGAAGGCTCCGGAACTGTGGTGCCCTCGGCCTGGCCTCTGGCGAGCGAAGCTCCCACTCAGCGGGCAGGTGCGCCAGGCTCGGACACCCGAGCTGGACGACCACGTCCTCGGGGCCTCCACGCCTCTGTGCTATCTGTGGGGAACCCCCCGGACACAGGGCTCTTGCACCCCGGTGCGCACCTGGCGTGTGGAGGGGTGGTTGTATGTTTGATATTTTTCAAAGAGCAGATTTCTGCAGGAACTTGAGAACTCGTTATGAGTGTTTTTCACACTTTGGAAGACGGAAGCCCCAGGAGAGTAAGAAGACGGGCACATCGTCCCCCTGGCGTTTTATTTCAAGGCGGGAGCATCCAGCAAGCCTTGGCACCGACACCAGATTCTCTGAGACAGCCAGCAACACAAGCCTTGGCCGCTGAAATTCCCTTGTAACTCTCTCCAGGGAGGTGACTGGCCTTGTGTGCTGGCCTGGTCTAGCCCCTCCATCTGGGCTGTCAGGGTCCTGAGACCCCAATAATGGGTACCTCGCTCACAGGCGTGCTTGGAGCAGAGGGACAGGACAAAGTGAGGGTATGGTCTCTTCAGCGTCTGCAGAGCCAGCTCCGTGAGCAGGTGACACTTTCTCTGATGAAGATGAAGTCACCCAGCTAGGGTCATCGCCTTGTAGAGAAGTGTACTGTGATCCAGCTCTGCCATGTGACCCAGTCACTTGAGGTCCCGAGGACCAATTTTCTCATTTCAAGGATACAACCATATCTACCACACTTTTGTGACTTGCTTCAAAAATCTCTTACTGCAAAAGAATAAGGAGCCAAACATGGCGGGGGGCGGGGAGGTGGCCTCGGCTGGGGAAGCCGCGGGTCCCAATGAGAAGACGGGGCGCATGGTCCAGTCCCTGTGGGGCATGTGTGTACAATAGTGCCCCCAGCAGGGGACAGGATGGAACAGGACAGGATCAGTAAGGAGAAGGGTCTTTGTGACCTGAACCGTGTGGGCCCCAAACCAGACACTAAAGGACCACACCTGGGCCAGTCGCTCTTTATGATTAGAGCATCGAGGTGAATGGAAATTTGCTGCTGTTTGCTCCCTTATCTGAGACTCTCGGGGGCGGCAGCAGACCCCACCTAGAAGGAGGATCCCAGGACCCTGGAAAGCTCTTTCCTTCTGACCCCTATAGGTGCCTTGTGACGCCTGGTCCCTCACCCGAAGAATTGTGGAAACCTCAGACTGCTCCCACATTCCATCCTCTGGCGTTTTATGGAGTCTTCCTTACATAGGCTCGTTTGATTAGATCATTGGCCACTGGTGATTGATTCAACCTCCAGCCCCCTCCTCACTCTGCGAGATGGGCTGGGGGGAGGGTGCTTTCCCCTTCCAACCTTCCAATCACACAGTTGTTCTCTTGGCAACCAGCCCCATCTTGGGGTGCTCTCCAAAAGTCACCTCATTAATGTAACAAAAGGCCCCTCTATCAGTCACTGGGAAATTCAAGGATTTTAGGGTCTCTGTGCCAGGAACAGTGGACAAAGACCAAATGTATATTTCTTATAAATTACAGGCACAAAACACGGACACCCACAAATCTGCCTTTTGCCAAAGCCACTGGGACACACCGCGTGGTCTCCATCGGTGGCAAAGGCCGGACGCGTGAGCCCCGCGTGTCCCGTCCGTGCCTGGCCCCTCACCCACCTCGGGGCGGCGGCCTCAGTCATAGAACACCTGGTAGCTGAAGTCGTCCGCCTGGGCTTTGCAGTTGTACTTTCCGGTCACGCGCTGGTAGCGTGCGATGACCAGGGCGGCTGCCCCCGTCACCAAGGCGAAGACGGCCACCACGATGAGGACGACAGAGCTGGGCGCCAGCCCTGGCTTCGCGGCTGGAGGCTCACCTGCAGGGGACGAGACGGGCACGAGGTGGGGGGTCTGCCCAAAGCAGGCGGAGCGCGTCTCCGCGGGCTGGTGCCCCCTGAGGTCCCAGCACTGGGACGTCATTGCGAGGGTGGCAAGGAGGACTCAGGACCGAGTCTGGACGGGGCGCGCTCCCCACATGTGGCCGCTGGATGTGACTCAGCAGAAGCACCGTGGCAGGGAGGTGTGCGTCCACATCCCTGCGGGCCCCTGAAGGTGGCGAGGAGGGAGTCCCAAGCCTGGGAGGCACAACACCCAGGACAGCTCAGCCTCCCAACGTTCTGGGCAAGCACTGGCCAAGAGGAGGCCACGTGGGAGCGACGGGTCCCCCGTCCAGGTGGAGGTGGGGAGCCCGGTGGGGCTGCCCATGGGGAGACACGCGGGGCCCACGCGCTCTGCAGCATGGAGGAGCCCGGGCAGCCCCAGACCCGGGGGTGACGGAGACACAGGAGCGCGTGGGCCCAGAGGACGAACAACAGGCACTCGCATGACGCTTGCACAGCCACGCTCACGGCAGCACCATTCACAGCAGCCGAGGCGGGAACGACCCGTGTCCATCAGAGGAGGACTAGATACAAACAGGTACAATGTTGCACACTCGTGTTGCAGAGGAACAGCAGGGCCTGACGCGCTGCAGGCAGGCGAAACCACAACGTGGTGCGTGGGCGAAGAGACGCATGGACGGGTGGATGGATGGATGGGTGGGCAGGTGGGTGGGCGGACGGATGGGTGGACAGATGACTAAATAGATGGGTAGGTGAGTGAATAAGTGGATCGATGTGTAGATGGATAGGTGAATAAATGAATGAGGGGATGCGTAGGTGGGTGGTTGATTGGATGGGTAGGTGGGTGGATGAATAGATGGGTGCATGATAGATGGAGGAATGATGGATGAATAAATGAACAGGTAGTTGGACAGAAGGATGGTCGGAAGCATGGGTAGGTGGGCAGATGAATGGATGAGTGAGTGGATGGACGAGTGGATGGATGAATGGATGGGTGAGTGGATGGATGAGTGGATGGATGAGTGGGTGGATGAATGGATGGATGAATGGATGGGTGAGTGGAAGGATGAGTGGATGGATGAATGGATGGGTGAGTGGATGGATGAGTGGATGGATGAGTGGATGGATGAATGGATGGGTGAGACACAGAGACACACACACGCACAGACACATGCACACACACACACAGACACACACAGAGACACACACACACAGACACAGACACACGCACACACACAGACACACGCACACACACACACACAGACACACAGACACACAGACACACGCACATGCACACACAGACACGCAGACACATATGCAGACACAAACACACACACGGACACACGGACACACACACAGACACACACAGAGACACACACAGACACACATGGAGACACACACAGACACATGCACACACACACAAACATGCACATACACACAGAGACGCACACGCAGAGACACACATGCACATGTGTGCACAGACATGCAGACACACATACATGCACACACATATGCATGCACAGGCACACACAGGCATGCACACAGACACACACAGACACGCACACACAGACACACGCACACACAGAATTCGACCAGGCCGTGGCCTCAGATGCGTCCCCGGCACAGCCCGCCCGGTGCGGCGATGCGGATTCCGGAAGCTTCGCAGCCTTCACCTCGCACTGCTCAAACACGGCATCACGTGAATCCGAGCGACTTCCCGAAGCCTTGGTCTTTATATCTGCAACGTGGGGCAGCAGCGGACCCTACCTCACCGGCTGCCAAGAGGAGCAAATCGCATTTTGCGGGTAGAGAACGAGACGCGGCACTGGAAAGTCGGAGCTCTCCGCGAAGTCAGCCGGCTTCACGTCGGCGTTATTTCTGAGAGTTTCAGGAAAACCTTAAGAACGCCACGTGTCCGGTAGTTGCTCTTTGGTTTACGGGCTGGAGCAAAGGAATTGCTCGCATCTTAAGTTGTCTAAACCAAGCCACCAACTCACCGTCAGACCGCACGAGGGGTCCCCAGGATGTCAGGTGTGTTGCGGGTGGCTCACCACTTCTCAGCGACCGAAAGTCTTCGCAATTCTGTTTATTTTAAAAGGAGAGAAACCTCAGATCAGTTGAACAACATCTATGAGAAATTTACCCGCTGTCCGGGACGACTCTCTGCTTCGTAGGTGTTTTTCCTGCTGGAAAGGGTGACATCATGATGGAGGAGCTCAGACAAGGACGAGGAGGCCCTCGGAGGCCAGGGGCACCAGGGCCGTGGGCTCTGCCCAGCGTGGTGGCCGGAGGGAGGGCAGTGAGGGGCCCGAGAGCAGCGAGACACAGTGGCCCCTGAGCTGCCTCCAGCTACTGGCGCTGGCCCCTTTGTGGAGAGTGACCTGTGCATCGTCCACAGCTTGCAGCCACTTGCCCCCTTCAACACCTTTGCCTTACAGAAAGGGTCAGTGACATGATGGCATCTGCTTTCTCTGTACCTGCTGTGGGTCGCACATGACCCCAACAGATCTTGAAGTCCTACCCGGGACCTGAGGAGGTGCCTGACTTGGACATGGGGTCTTTGCAGATGGTCGCATCAGGCGAGGTCATTACGGTGAGTCCTGCTCCCGTGTGACTGTATCCTTACACCAAGGGCACTTTGAACACAGTGGACAGGGGACACATGAGGACGCAGGGAGAAGACGGCCATGTGCCAGCCGAGGAGAGAGCCTGGGGCGGATCCTCCCTCCGCCTCAGACGGAGCCAGCCGTGCAGCCAGCACCCCGATCTCCGAGCTCCGCCGTGAGGCAATGGGTTCTATTGTTCACGCGCTCAGGGTGTGGCGCATGCTTAGGCGGCCACAGGACGCGCTACGGCGCCCGAAGGAGGAGCTCTGTGCAGCTCAGACTAACGAATTCGAGAACCGGCAGCCCCTGTGCAAGCAGCGTGTTACTTTGAGTCTCCGTCACCCTTAAGCCCCTGACACCCTTAGCGTTTCTGAGGGGCTGGCGGGGCCAGGTGCAGGCTCCTGTGTGCCCTTAGCTGGCCGTCACCAGAAGTCTCCATTCCCTCCTGTGGTCCCAGATGTTCTGTGTAGGAAAAAGTGACATCGATAAAATCGGCCACCGCCGGGCTTCTTCCATCCACTTCCCGCTGACTCTGGAGGTGGGTCACCCAAGACGACCGCAGGGGTCCTGTGAGGAGCACAGGGACACACTTTCCCCTGCGGGACACAGAAACTCGCGTGGCCGAACCAACGGCCAGCAGAGCCCACCACACTGTCCTCGGCCACAGACGACACGTGACAGTCACTGCCCACGAGCCTGTGGTATGAAGACGAGCTTTCAAGCCTCGGGACTGCAAAGCACATTTCACATTCAAAGGTCTAAGGAAATGAGAATGTAAAATTATTCACAGTCACAGAAGGAACGAAGCACCTAGGGAAAGGAAAGCACAGCGGGTGGGACTCAGGAGCGCTCCATCAATGTCGCTGCAAACGAGATTAAATTAAAACAACATTTTTCCCACTTAAATATGCGTCAAATCACCTCCAGGAGAAGCAGGGCAGCGTCATGACAAGGAAGTGCTGATGTGACAGCCAGCAGACGACGTGGCCTCAGGCAGGACTTACGGCCATCTGACCACAGCCGTCCTCCCCCAGGGCTGCCCGGTGTCCTGACCTCACGTCCTGCCTTTTAGGGGCCACGTCTGTGGGGTGCGGGGCTTCCTCCCAGCACCTAGCCCCGAGCCGCCCATGCCCCCGGCTTCTGGTAACAGGGCAAGCCCCCTCACAGCCACGAGCCCCGGACGGCGGCCTGGAAGTCCCCACACCTACGATTCTGCACGAGCTGCCCGGGGCCTCCATGCAGACGCGGAGCCTGCAGTGCAGGTACACTCTGGAGCTGTTGATGAAGGAGAAGATCTTCAGCTTGAACTGGGCCTTGCTGGAGCTCCCGTTCTCGATCACGCACGTGTGCGTGTTGGGGATGGGGCAGCTGGCGGGGGAGGAAAGGCGCCTCGTGAGTCACAAACCTCCCTCCTGTTCTGGTCCTCGTGAGCCTCCTGACAGGGCAGCCGCCTGCACCCGGCGCGTCCCCACCAGGCACGGACGTCTGGCTGTCCATCGCCCAGAGGGGAGGCTCTCCCGCGGGCACTACCCAAAACCCAGCCCCGTGCCCGGGCGAGTCTGCAGGTCCAGGGCCCCGAAGCAGGCCGCCGGCGGGGCACAGCCCCCCGAGCCCCCACCTGTTGTTAATGAAGCCGAACATGACCGGGTCCAGGGCATCGCTGGACGGCGTGGCCCAGCATTCGGTCAGGACCACCTTGGCCAGAGGGGAGGCTCTCCCACGGGCATTACCCAAAACCCAGCCCCGTGCCCGGGTGAGTCTGCAGGTCCAGGGCCCCGAAGCAGGCCGCCGGCGGGGCACAGCCCCCCGAGCCCCCACCTGTTGTTAATGAAGCCGAACATGACCGGGTCCAGGGCATCGCTGGACGGCGTGGCCCAGCATTCGGTCAGGACCACCTTGAGGTTGCTTTTCCGTGTGGACAGCCCGACCTCGATCTTGACATCGTCGCTGGCAGACACGCTGTAATTCCGTGGGATAGGAGCGTCTCCGATAAACAACTGCATTTCGGTGACAAAACTTCCAGCGCCGTGGAGGTCCTCGATGATGGTGTAGACCCTGCGAGACGGAGCGGCGTGTGGACGGCTTTGTCCCACACACAGACTCGCGTCCCTGCCACCGGACGGAACGAGCGGGGCTGGCCGCAGCAGGGGTCGGCCCGTCGCCCGCGATGACGGAGACTCCAAGGCCGGCAGAGCAAAGGGACAGCTTCACAGTGGACAAGGGGGCCCAAGTGCGCCCTGATGGGGGTGGCGCTGCGGAGAGGCTGTGGGTGGGCTCGCGGGACTGGGGTGTCCCTGTGCAACTGGCTCAGGGAGCATATCTGGCTTTCTCCGGTTGGTCCTGAGTTGGAAGCAGGGACAAAACTTTGGGCGGCTGGACGTTCGATCTAATCTCGAAGGCACCCAAACCCAAAGCGAGGGTGCTGGAGTGGAGAGGCGCGTGCGCTGGGGTGGGGGGACCCCCACTCACCCCCACTCCGGCATGTAGCCGGAGGACGTGAGGAGGTCGTTGCGGAAGGCACAGCGGATGGGACTCAGGATCTTCAGGTGGTGGACGATCCCGTCTGGGGACAGGTCGTTCCTCAGCGTCGTCCTCACCACCGTGTCTGTCATGTTCTGGACACAGACGAAACGGGACGTGAGCCAGCTCCGGGGCCAGCCGGGCCCAGCACGCTGCGCACCGTGGCCCCGGATGCTGGGGCATTATTTTTTATTTTTTAAAGCTTTCCCCCAAACTATAAAAATCCTAATGGTTTTTTCCTAATGTAAATTGACGACGAGAGCGTGAATCGTGACACCGGCCGCAGCCCGTCTTCTGTGCCGCGTCCTTCACCGGAAGAGAACCAGAGACGAACTTGAGCAGGGACACCCCAAGGCCTAGGTCGGACCCCTCCCCGAGTCCCACCCCCTCTGACGCTTCTCAAAGCGAGGCCCTCGTCCAAAGCATGGAGAGCCGCGGGAGACCGGTTCTGGCTGTGGCCGAGCACCCCGCGGTCCCGCCGGCGTCTCTGGTCCGGGGCAATGACGAAACCAAGAAGCCCGAAGACCATCTAAAGGAAGGAGCGCGATCGTGACGGGGACGGGAGTATGTGGCGGTGGCAGCACGGCTCACACTTGTGGGCTTGAGTCCCCGGGGGCGACGCCCAGCCTGGCGGGGTTGGTGACCGTCAGCCCTTGCACGTGCGGAGCAGGTCGGTTTTGAGCTCGAGGAGACAGGGCCGCAGGTCGGCTGGCCCCGAGGCATGGTGGCCGGGGACACGGAAGTTCAGCGGAAGGGGAGACGCCTTCAGGCAGCAGGACCGGGCGGCCGGCTGTCTCCGGCGGCTAGGACAGAGCTGAGGATCCCGACGTGGGCCACTCCACACTCTGCTTCTGCGGGGAGCGTTGCAGGAGGAGGCAACATGTCGGTGAACACCTGCCACCCTCACGCAGAAGCTCCACGAAGTCATGCGTCTGACAGACGCCCGAAGCTCTGACTGTTGGACGCGCTTTGCTAGCTGGGGGCTGGGGACTGTCATGGTGGTGGGCGTTCTAAGGTCAATGCCTCTTTACTGGCGCCTCCTAAGCTGCCACCAGGACAGAGGACCAAGCGCAGTTCTGGATCGCCTGCGGTGGTGACACGCCACGGGGCACGGGTGGCAGCGGGCACTGCACGGCTGTTCACGTGCCAGACTCAACAGTGTAGACCCAGACAAGGGAAGTCGTGTGGGGCCCGTGAGTCGGATCCATAGAGTGAGGAGGAGGCGAGGGGCAGGGCTGACGTGTGACGAGGACACAGCGTCAGGCAGAGCTAGTGAGACACACGGCTGAGCAGAGCAGAGCAGAAGCTGCTGGACGCCCGGAGCCAAGAGCGAGGCCGGCGGCGGGCCCGGCGACACAGCGTCTAACCTGAGAGGCGGCCAGTGCAGCGTTTGCAGAAAATGGAAATCCTAAGGCTGACGATGCTAACGGACCCACGAACCTGATAGACAGCAAGTCCGGCGGCCAGACAGGCACTGACATGGGTGGGTCTGACTGAGCGCAACACGCTGCGCGTAGTAGGGCAGCACACGGAGGAGCGAGAGGGGAAGGAGAAGGCTGGCCCGCGTCCGCGCTCCCCTCCTGCGGCCCCTCCTTCCTCGCTGCGCTACACGCATTACAGGCTGAGCGCATTTTCTGATGCATCTAAAATTGATCACGCAGAGCCACTAGCTTATCTTTGGAAGCTACTGGATGGTATCGGTCTCTCTAGGTTTTTATATAAAGAGCGAAATTTGAATTATTGAAAATCGTGTTAGAATCTGTTTTCCTGGGTAGAGATGAGCGATGCCGTCGCTTCTGGGGAGAAACTTGGGTAGGTTCTCGGTTGACTTGTCCCACACCCAAACCTTTAAACTCTTGACACCTAATCTTCTGTGTTTGCTTCTTAGAAATGAAGGGCCTGTGTTCGTAGCTCCATATTTTGGAGTAATTATCCACATGGCGTTTACGGGCCCTGCGATTTGCAGCTAAAGAACAGAGGCTCGACCAGCACGTCCGTTTCCAGCAGCCCCGAAGCCGGTGCTTGGTGGCTGCCGCAGACACGCGGGGTCTGGAGCGCGTGACATTTAGTGTCTTGAGTCATTTTGAAAAGCGTCTCGGAAAACCTGGGCCGACCCCTTCTGTCTTGGCGAGAAGTTCGCATGTATTTACGGGGATGATCCCGTACTCCGGCGAACAATCTGGGACGTGGGCGAATGTGCATTTCTTTATAGTCATGCTCTGCATGACCTGTGTATAGTAATCAAACTTGGAGGCGTGACCTTAAATTTAACTTTTTTTGTAAAAACCTGGAGGTCAATAAAATTTAAACTGCTTAACAAAAAAGAAGAGGAGAAGGCAGAATAGCCAGCTGCACGTCATTGTGTCGGTGCAAATAAGCCTTCCGAGGAACCTCGGGTTCTGACAAATGTCAGAACCACCGCTGCCTGCGTGGATCCGGGTCTGCGGGACACGTGGGACACGGGTGTCCCTTCCCTCTTCACCGGTGGAGCCCGACGGACGTGGTTGTAAACCAAGCGACTGTCTAGCTCAGAGAGCAGAGGGAGGAGCTGCTGTCCGCGGACCCCCGGCCCCCCCGCAGGGAGCCTGGCTCACCCTGGGAGCGGCCTGCGGGAGCCCCACGGGCAGGAGCTGACGTCACATTTGAGACCCAGTGATGGTGCTGCCCATGCCCACCCTCCACCAACACATGCCCCCACATGCTCACACACGCATTCGCACACGCATTCACACTCACACGCACTCCTACGCATGCACACCGACGTGCTCTCACACACACGCACACGTGGACGCCCACGTTCACACACAGGCTCCCGGCTTTCCCGCCCCCTTCCTCCCCCGCAGGCCCCCCACCCTGCCTGTGCCTCAGAATCACTGGGGGGTGTTTTGAACCCTGACCCTGAGTCCTACCCCAGGCCCTTTGCATCAGAACCCCTGCAGGGTGAGGCTCACAGCTTCCTCCCGTGCTGGGTCCCCCACTTACGGTGACAGACTTTGGGGTGCAGAGTCTTCCCGGGCCCTCCCCGTGTGGAGGTCTGGACAGCCCGATGCCCCGCCCCCGCCCCGTGCCTGGGACTCACGCTTTGCACCAGGGTCCCGCACTCGCTCCATCCGGCCGCCAGGAACACGTGTGTGCTGTTGCTGTCGCTCACACCGCAGGACGGCTGGCCCAGGTACAGGGACGACTCGGGGATGGACTCCTGCTGCAGGAAGCGCCTCTGCACGGCGATGGCCACCTTCTCGATCTCGCACAGCACCCTGACCGCGCCGGCCAGGCTCAGCCGCGGGAGCACGCCCTGGGGGGCCGGGCTGGCCGCCCTCGTTTCCGCTGGGCTGGGGGATTGCTCCAGGCCAGGAGCCAGAGAGGACCTGGGGGCCTGGGTTGTGTTGTCAGAAGAGTCACCTGCAGGGCACGAGGAGCCAAAGCACAGGTGGGTCTGTGTTTAGGGACTGCCCTGCGAGCCCGGCCGCATGGACTCAGGAGGACTCAGCGATGGGGACCCGCGGAACCCCTCCGTGCCCCACAGCAGCGCACACCTGGTCTGCACGTTCCAGCCACAGCCACTCTTGCCTGCGTTGCACGTCCCTGCCAGCCCCAGCAGCTGGGCCTGGCCTGGCTCGCCGTGGGCCGCCATGAACCAGAAAACCGGGGGACCCTCTGCCCTCCGAACCTCCCCGAGGCTGACGCTGCGCATGTACTGAGCCCGTGGTCTTGGGACAAGCTGGCTGCCCTCAGGGCCCCTGGGTTCGGGCTCTAAGATAGTCGATGATGTTCACTCTTAGGCTCCCTGAGTCCCTCACTCCTGCTCCGGCTTCCTGCTTGCCCCGGAGCACACTTGGTTTGGACTCCAGAAGAGCATGCAGCTCCCCAAAGCTGTCCGCCATTCCCCTCGGCTCCCTCCGCGGTCTGTAGGATGCGGCTCGGCCCGCCCCGGCCTCTGCTCTACAGCCCAGCTCTGTCGCCCGCCACCCTGGCACCGGCTTTCTCCTGCCTCAAGGTCAGGGGCTCACCCATCGCCCTGCTCCTCACCTAGCTTGTCACATGGGCTCTGAGTTTTACAAGATCGTCTTTTGGCATCTAGAGGACACACCTGAGTTCGCCTGTGTATTTTCTCATCTCAGGCATCAGAAGAAGCACTTGGGGCTATGAGGCACCACCCAGAGGGCTGGAGACATGTGGAAGGGTATGAGGGGACGGCATGCACACACGTGTGCACACACGCACGCATGCACACACATGTGCGCACATGCCCATACATGCACATATACACATGCGCACATGCATATATGCATACATGTCATGCATGTGCGCCTGTGCACGTGTGCACCTATGCACCCATGCACCCACACATGTACACACATACATGCACATGTGCACACACATGCATGTGCACAGCGCGCATACACATCATGCATGTGCACACAGTGCACATATGTACCCATGCATGTGCGCATATACTTGCATGTGTGTGTGCGCAATGCATGTATGTACGCGTGCACACACCATGCATGCACGCACATGCACATGTGCACACACTCATGAATGTGCACGCATGCACGGCACTCACATGTGCATGCACGAGCATGCACACGTACATAGGCACACACTCACATGTGCATGCACACGTGTGTACATGCCTGCACATAGCACGTGCATGTACACATACTCGCAAGCACACACACATGTGCACACACACATCAGGAAACTTGCCTGGGGCATAAAATATGCCAACCTCATTTGGAAAAGAAATACTTTGCAAATGAATATCCTTAAAAGGACAGACTATCTGACAGTATTCCAGAAAAGGGACTATGAGGCTACTACCTTCACAGGGTCTTCCAGAATATTCTACGGGGAGGTCGGAGGTTCCGCCCACACAGCGGCAAGTGAAGGATCCGAGGGTGTTGAGACAGGACGAGCCTGGTTCACAGTCGTCCTCCCTCCTTGCACACTCGTCATAATCTGCGTGACATTCACAGGACAGGACAGGAAAGCGTCACCGGGGGTGGCGTTGTGACGACGAGGTGCCCGCGCGTGGTTTACAGACAGCTTAGTGGGACACGTGTGTCTCAGGGAGCAAACCGAACCATCACATGGCAACAAAGGTGGCCCGTCCTGGAGAGCTCCGGAGACGGGAGGCATCTCGATTTTCTGCCAGGGGTGGGGCAGGGGCAGGTGACAGGAAGCTGTAGGGGCTGGCCTAGAAGGAGGGTCCTGGTCCCAGGGCTGGCAGGGCAGCCTGGAGCTGAGCAGGTCCCCACCCTGACCCCGACCACTGCAGAGGGACCCAGACAGCAAGACGGCCCAGGGCGGAGGCCCTCGGCCCACCCGCCTCCACCTCCACGCTCAGCCACCTTGCAAGTTAATGGGGCTGCAGGTTCGCTGAAGAAAGTGGGCACGAACCCAAACAGCTCAGCAAGAGCATAAAAGCCGCCCTGGAGGTCCCCTCCCTAACGGAACTGCTCGTTCTCATGCTGACACAGTCTGTCGCAGCCCTTGAAACCACGGACGAGGACACAGCTGAGCGCCTGTTCTAAGCATGGACGGGGCCGGCTTCCCGCCCCCGCCTCGTGTCAGGACCATTCGATGCACCGACCTCCTGCTTAATAACTGCATATTAAACCCAGTTTACTCAGTATCTTCCCTGCGTGGGGGACCATGGGTCACTTTAACCTTTTCCTTTTAAAGAAACACTGAAAGCGAACATCTTTGTGTGTCCCCTGAGGGCGGAGTCCCTGGAGGTGACACTCCAAAGCCAGAGTGGAAGACCTTTCGAAAACCCTTGATGGATATGGTCCAGTCGATTTCGAGGAAGTGGGAGCAAATTCTGTCCCCACCAGCAAGGCTTCGCGACACTTCTGTCATTATTTTCATTAAAAAAAAATTGCTCTTAGATGGGCAGAAAGAGCCCCTCGGTTTAGCGGGAATGCCTTCGGGTACTGTCACCTCCCTGCTGGTCCGTCGTGTTTCTGTGTCCGTGTACAGTCCTTTCTGCTTTTGTCCGTAGTAGATTATGATCCGTGCATGCCATCTCTCTATATGTGGGGTACAATTCTTCATGAAATTATTGAAATTATGTTTTGTTTCGTTGCTTGCTTTATAATGATGCTTTTATTTTGTTTGATGTAAAAGATGTACATGTTTATGGAGTGGAATATTCCAGCCTTATCTTCCGTGGGTTTGTTTTCCTTCTGCTTTTAAACTTGGAAAACACTTCTCAGTCTAAAAATCAGAAAAACATTCATCTATGTTGTCTCTGATTTTTAGAAAAGAAAAAAATGCCTACAGCACCCGGTCATCCTAGGTGGTCTCCCATCCAAGTACTAACCAGGCCCGACGCTGCTTAGCTTCCGAGATAAGACAAGATCGGGCTTGTTCAGGGTGGCGTGGCCATCTCTGATATTTTTATACAGGTAACTATAAGACTTTTATCATTTATTTTCAAGTAAAAGATGGGCTGTAGACTGAATTGTGTCCCCTCAAAATTAGCCTCCAGAAGCCCTAACCCGCAGTGTGACGGGGTTTGGAGCTGGGGCCTTCGGGAGGTGGTTCTGCTTAGATGGGGTCATAAGGGCGAGTCCAGGTCCTGACAGGACTGATGTCCTTACAAGAAGAGACACCAGGGAGGTCTCCCGTCTGGGGACACAGCGAGAAGGTGGCCGCCTGCCCATCAGCAAGCGGGCCCTCGCCAGAAACCAAATCGGCTGGCACCCTGACCTTGGCCGGCGGTCTACCGAGGAGAGGTGAATGTCTGTTGCTGAAGCCGCCCTAGCTGTGTATTTCGTTAGGACAGCTCCAGCTGAGACAGCGTGAGAAAAGAAACTACGTTGCTGTTTCTCGCTACTTTCTCCTCAATTATTTCCACTTGGACCACCTTGGAATCTCGGCTTGGGCTGCAGAGAGGGACGTATCTGCCATCTGCTCATCGAAAGGGGTGGCCGAGGAGCGGGGGGCAGGACGTGGCCTGTGACAAGGGAGCAGTGTCCTGGGGACGTTTGCAGGTTCAAACTTAAACGTTTAAGGTTTACGATTTAAAGGAAAAAAAAACAGTGGCAGCGAGACAGATGGGGGCCCGAGCTGCTTCGCATTTCCGTCTAACGGGGGCGGAGACACCGC